CAGGTTTCTATGCTCTATAAAATGATACAGTGATCACCTTTACTTTTAACTGCTCTATGAAATTATACAGAGTCAAATTAGTACGATAGGTACAGTTCTTATATTATATAGATATTTTTGTAGGATACTCTTACATTCAAAAACGAAATTAGTACTAAAAATCTTTATGATCAAAAATTGCGTTGTGTGACTCCTTAAAAGCCTATTCTGTTGTAAGGTTCATTTTCATAGAAATATTGTAAGAAAGTAACCACTTTAAAGGCGATATCGACCATTGTCATATTAAACTTTAATTCTAATTTCAACTTCGGTCTAAAATAAATATTGTATTCGGAATTAGCAAAGATGAATTTTTATTAGAAATACATCCTGGGGCTACATCAATTTTTTTTTTAGTAAAAAATTATTTTTATTAAAATGTGTATGATATGATTTTGCTAATTCCGAATATGAAATTTATTTTGCTCTAGAGTTGAAATTAGATTAAAGTTCAATATGACAATAGTCAATATTGGTTTTAAAATGCTCATAAATGGTCATTTCCTTACAATATTTCGATGAAAATGAACCTTACAATAGAATAGATTTTTAGAGCGTCACACGGCACAACTTTTGATCGTAAAGATTTTTAGTACTTATTTCGTTTTGAAATACAAAAGTATCTGTATAATATGAGAACCGTATCTATCGTATCCATTTAACCCTACAAAACCTAAGAGAGAAGTTAATGATTACTACGTCATTTTATAGAGCATAAAAACCAGCGTCGATCTACGCTATTACTTTACATATTGGATTACAGATATCATAGTTATTAATCGAAACATCCAAAAATAATAGACCACTAAGACTACTTAGTCCTCGAAAATAGTCGATGGCAGATTTACGACCTTATCCAATAGTATCCTTTATTTTGGTTTTTTTATCTTAGTGTTCCACCTATTATGAATGAACGATCAAAATTAACACAACAACAACAACAGCAACAACAACAGCAACAACAACAACAACAACAACAGCAACAGCAACAACAACAACAAAATCAACAAATGGAACAAGAATCATTACAACAATCATTAATGTCTATGTTTGATGAACCAATCGTTAGTGATGAGGCTATTCGAATTTATGAACGATCGGTAGCTGTAGCTCATCAAGGACCTTTTGAACCGTCAGATGTTGATCGAAAAGTCTATGAAACATATGTAGCTTCATTGGCAATTACTGTTCAATCATAAAAAAAAAAGAAAACTAATTAAATTATTCATATTTTTAAAAAAATTTATTATTAATTTATTTTTTTCTTTTCGTTGTGTAAAATTATTGAATAAATCTTTGTTTTTTAATTTAAGATGAACCATGTGTTCAAGAATAATTCTCCGTCGTATGATTCAATATAATATTCTTTCTCGAAAATATAATTCTACATTATCAAACGATAATTTTGTTCGTATATTTGAAGTTGGTCCTCGTGATGGTTTACAAAATGAAAAAATTCAAGTACCAACATCAATTAAAATTGAATTCATTAATCGTTTAAGTCAAACTGGTCTTAAATATATTGAAGTAACTAGTTTTGTTTCTCCTAAATGGGTACCACAAATGAGTGATCATGTTGAAGTACTTGCTGGTATTGATCGAATACCTGGTATTTGTTATTCAGCTCTAACACCTAATGTTCAAGGTATAAATAAAGTTGTTTCATTGGGAAAAAAAGGTGTTGATGAAGTTGCAATATTTTCGGCTGCATCAGAAACATTTTCAAAGAAAAATATTAATTGTTCAATTGAAACATCACTACAACGTTTTAATGATGTTGTCAAAATTGCACGTGAAAAAGATTTACCTGTACGTGGTTATGTATCTTGTGTAGTTGGTTGTCCTTATGAAGGTAAAATAAAGCCATCACAAGTTGTGCCTATTATAAAAAAATTACTCGATATGGGTTGTGTAAGTTTTCTATTAGAAATTGTTTAAAATGAACTTATTTCATTTTCAATAGTATGAAATATCACTTGGTGATACAATTGGTGTTGGTACACCGAAATCTATTTATGATTTACTTAAAGAAATACAATCAAATGATATTCCATCAAATAAATTAGCTATTCATTGTCATGATACATATGGACAAGCTATTGCTAATATTACACAAGCATTAGATATGGGTATACGTTGTATTGATTCAAGTGTTGCTGGTCTTGGTGGATGTCCATATGCTAAAGGTGCAACAGGAAATGTAGCAACAGAAGATGTTATTTATTTATTAGATGGACTTGGTTATGAAACAGGTGTTGATCTTAATCGTTTGATTGATGCTGGTCAATTTATTACGGAAGCATTGAAACGAGAGAATGCATCAAAAGTTGCACGAGCACTTTTATGTAAACAACAAGGTGAAACCAAAACAACAGTAAAGAGTAATCAAACTTAATGATTGTTCATATTACCCGACAGAGTTTTTTTTTCATATTTTACAATATACAGTTATGTGTGTGTATATATTTATTATTCATAAATAAAAAGTAAAGATTAGTTTAATGGAGTATAATCATTAACAATATCTATTAATTAGATATAATCAATTCTAATATATTTTCTTTAGGAGAGAAAAAAATTAAAAAGTTTTCAATGGATGTTTTAAATGATAGGAAAATTTTTGTGTATTTAAAAAAAAAAAATGTTCTCATCAGTGAGAAATGACAAGAGAATCACTCCAGGTGTGAAATCACTTTTCGACCGAGACAATATTCATTTGTTGAGTACTAGTGAGTAATAAAGCTGTGATCATATGAAAAATCGATTTTTAAATTGTAACTTTTCCAGTATTTCCTATTCTGATATATTCAATATTCGAAATTTTCTCGTGTGCAAAAGTAAATTTTATTCATCTCCAGAAAGGAAATACTAGAAAGGTTATAACTCGAAAACTGATTTGTCAGGTAATCACAGCTTTTAGTTAAAAACTCAGTAAAATTTCGATATCTTGAGAGTAAAAGCTCGAAAAACTAAACCATTCTAAACTTTTCTATTACTCACTAGTACTCATCAAACGAACATCGTCTCAATTGAAAAGCGATTTGACATATGGAGAGATTCTCTCATAAAATCAATGGATAGAAAAAAAAAACAGTGACAAATTACAAAACGCCTACGGGAAGTTTTTACAAAATAAATCTGTAGATAGTTTGCAAAAATTGTTTAATGAATGATTTCTACAGTTTCAATTGTTGAGTACAATCGATGCAAAACATCTGTCAGGTATGATTTTGATGGTTGAACTATTCGTTATTTAAGATTAAATATTGACATAAGGTTTTCTTGTTTGTCATTTTTACAATGACAATTGCTGTATCAAGGTTCATATAAATCAGTGTATTACCAATTTCATTCTTTCAAGCAGCAAAAGATCGAGAAAAAAAAAGTGTTTCGCCTAAAGATATTTTTTTAATATAGGGTAAAGAAAAAAATTGAATTAAGTTTGGAAAATGCTTTTAACGTAATTAATTTCTAGGAAACCAATTGTAGTAATCAATATAATCTTAATTATTGAAATTTTCGTATTTGAATAATGATAATTTACCTTATAATTCAAATTGTCACACATATTTATTGATACTCTTGCGTATACAAGTATTCTCTTTCTTTATTATGATGTTGTTGTTGTTTTTTGTTAAAGTGCGCACATGTAGTTTTTTTTTTTTCTTTTTCTGACATAAGACTGGCTTACTACTAGTAAAGGTAAAGATGAAATATTTTATTATATTGTTGGAAGGGGAACTCAAAGATTTTCTATTTTTTTTCTTCTTATTATTAGAATATACCTGCGGTTTTTTTTTCTCTTGTTCTCTTCGTTACAAATAGACAAATTTTCTAAATAATCTACAGATAAATAATGTTAGAAAGAACAAAATCAGTCATTTTATTTGTAATTCATAGATTTTTTTAGACATTATTCAAATAAATCAATGGATTCTTCATCACATATTCAAATTGTTCTATCAAAAATAAATGAATTTCATCGATTAACAATAAGTGATTCAGATATTAAAATAAAAAATGCTATACAAGAAATCCTTCATCTATGGCCTGAAGTACTTACTACCGTTGATAAAGCTACTGATGATGAATTATTTACTTTAAATATTAGTCGAGCTGTCTTAACTCAAGTATTTACAATTGTTTTATCAAAAGATTTTTTTAATAAAGATCATTTATTAGTACGTGAAATTTTTTTTACTTGTTTTAATATACTTGTTAATCATGTATATATATTTAAAAATACGAATTCAACACCTAGAAACATATTTATTGATTCTAATGTACGTCTTTTAATGAAAATGTTAACAAGTATAACATCATTAGTAAAATTTCAACATGAAGATTTTTCTAAAATTAATGATTATCAATTATTTATTGCTATACGTGAACATATTGATCAAGATTTTAAACATGATAATTTAACTGATGGAATTATATCATTTATATGGAATTTATCTGATCGAACAATTTTAGTACCATTATTTATAAATACTGGCTATGTAAATAGTATTATTCAATGGATAAAAACTCGTGAAATTAAATTTCGTGATGATAAATTAAATGCACCAATACATATTTTACATAATTTATCACGACATGATGATGGTATTAATCAATTAAATATATATAATGCACTTAAAATAATTGATGATATTAAAATTGAAACAAATAAATATGATGATCCTGATGATTTAACAATACATATAGCTATGATTCGTGCACTTCTAACTAATATAAATCAAATTAAAAATGATTCAAAAAAATATTCAAATAAAATTCTTAATATGATTATAAAATTATGTATAGATGCTGCAAAAAATGAACGATATCGTTATAATGGTTCTCATGTATCTGAACCATTGACAGTACTTGTAAAATTATTTTATAATGATGATATATTACATAATACATTTTATAATAATGAAACAAAATCATCATCATCAAATATTCAATTATTAATAGAACTTTTAATATCATTACTTACTAAATTTTATTCAAAGATAAATCTTGATAATGACATTTTAGAAAATTATACTTGTGTTGTTATATTAAATCTATTTTGGCTTATTTCAAATCATGAAAAATATCGTCAGATTATTCAAAACAATGAACAATTGATGAATATTATAAAACGTGCTGTAAATGATGAAGAAATTTTTATAGATACTTTTATGCCACGAACAATGAAAAGTATAAAACAATCAGCAAATGATATTCTAAAAAATTTTGATAGCTAAAAATTAATATAATCTATTTCTATAACATAATAATAACGAATTTTTATCTTTTAGATATTTTCTATATTGTGCAAATTAAATATGAAGTAAATTCAAAAAATTTTATTAGATAAATTACTAAAGCAACCTATATGAGTTGATTTTATGAATTAAGCGTAACGATGACTCTTTCTTTCTACAGAAATTCTGTTCATTATAATATTTCTTAGAAAATATATTTTTGTTGATATTCTTCATATTTCATAGAAACAGAAAGATATCTCAATATATAAATATTTATTGTAAATCAGGTGTGTTATTCAGTAATAATGAACATAATTATTATTATTTTTTGAATATTTTTGTTTTCTTTAATATATTTCAAAGTAAAAGCATACATTCTATCCTATAGATGGTCATTCCAATAATCATCTCTCTCAAATTATGGTTAGCTCATTAGTAATAATATTGACCGATTCAATTTGTAAATGATCATTCCAGGTAAATGTTGAACAGAGAAAGCTAGCTTTTCTCGTGTGAATTATCTTTCGTAGACTCGTCGCTTCACATGCATCTAACGAAATACATTCCGTGACAGCCCGTATTAGATCTAGAACAGCCGAAGATCATGATCTCAGCTCAGATAAGCTAAAGAACTGTTGAAAAAGATCAGTTCAGATCAAACGAACTATTCGAACAGATCAGATCACTTTTACGAACAGTTCATCAGATCCCAACTTTTACCGATTTGTTCAGTCCCTAGTTTGTATAGTTGATACCAATTAATATCGACGAAAAATAAAAGCAGATCTACTGATATTCAAAGTTATATGAACAGAATACCTCTAATTGGATTGATCAGATTATTGATTAAAATTAACCAGTGATTTATCGAGCTCATTCATATTGAACGCAAAATTTTCATTATTAAATCCTAATTACTTTCATATCCAACGTATCTTCCTAAAATCAACGAATTG